AGTATCAGTAGTAGTAGCAGTAGTAGTAGTAGTTGTTGTTGTTCTCGTTGTTGTCAGTACTATTAGTAGCTGTCGTTGTACTGTGAGTAGTAGCAGCAGGAGGAGTCGCGGTAGTAGGAGACAGCTGAATTTACTTAGTCATTAGTATTGTAGTAGGACGACCAATAGTACTACTAGTTTTAGTATTACTGGGACCACGACCAGGCGACGTAATGGAAAATGCCACACCAGCCAGATAGTTTGAAGTTGTAATAATAATAGTAAGACAAGCTGGTGCCCCAGATCAGACCCGGAAGCCTAATCATCAGTCACAATTCGTATGAGAAAATCTGCCCCAAATTTCGGCACATTGGACCCTTTTTATTTGAAGCCCAAACACCGAGTCTCTTTTAGTCAGTCAAGGCCCGGGTCATGGGTTCAATTCTTTAGATCTAGCACGCAAAGCACAAGCAAGCTTCAAGTCAACCACCTGAAACTCTACCTGAATCCCAATGTCTTTAAACCCCAAAACCGAAACGTTCAACCCCAAATTTGTGCAAAACCTCGGCTGGATTTCCTGAACCTCATCAAACGGTAATGGAGTAATGGACACCCCCCTGCATCGAAGCCGAGAGGCCTTGTCGCGACTTTCCACATTCTCCAAATATTTTGCGACTTCCTTGTAGTCGTCCTCCTTGAAAGCATCCTGGATCTCTTCGCAATTTAAGAGATCGAAGTACTTGTTGTCGGGGCCTCGGAGTGCAATCGACTTTTCCAGAATCTCGGCCGCACGAGCATCTCCGCACTCCAGCGTTCCCGTCACGGCGGCCCACACATTGTCGCAAAGTTCGTCAGCTGGATCAGCGACTGCTTCCGCCTCCTCATCCGCTTCACCCTCGCCCCCGTCGGTGTCGACTGCATGGCCGAGCAGCTCCTGCAGCGAGATGAGTGGAATGGAAATCATGCAAGGGGATTGTTTTGTTGTCAGTGAAGTGAAGGAGCTGCTTTATAGACATAATTAATAATAGTAGCCTTACAGCACAACTTGGAAAGATGTGAATCTATAAATCCAGCACCCCAACCCTAAAAATGGACGAATCAGTATCGTTCGAAGTCTTTCAGCATCATACCTCTGTGGAGGTTGCTTGCTGTCGGAAGTCCCTTTAAGCCTTTTCTCTGAATCAAAGCTGTTGATGATTGGGAATGAATACCCCGCTCTATGGCTTTTGTTTGCTACCTCTTTTTATAGTTAGTACTTGACACTCATGTTGCTACACCTCAAAGCTCTCGTGCTTCCCTTTTTGACGGGTGACCTTTTCGTCTGGGTTTCAATTTCCATTTGCGATGATGGACTCCTTGGAGGCTCAATCCGGATAGAATAAATATGCATTTATTCTTCATTTCATTCGACTTAACTTGGATGCATTTGGAAGAAACTTGCAAACGATGGCAGAAGTGCACCTAAGGTTTCACGGCGAACCCTCAAGGGGACTCGAAAACCTGGAGGTTAGCTTCAAATTTTCACTCCAAACATTGGGAGCGGACCCCAAACCCAAAGGACAGGACACTTGCATCCCAAGCCTATCCCCACCTGGATCTTCAAAACGAGAAGACTTCTGTTGTAAATTTAGATTGCATTCTTGCGTAACTTAACAACGAGTACAGTACAAAAGCATGAAGCCCACAGGCAGAGTTGCAATTCTCTCCGCAAAACACGACACCCCAACTTTCCAAAACTGTCATCATGGCATGAAACACCGGCCTTTCGGATGCGCTTCACCAACCGCAACGGCAGTCCACTGAAGCCTTTGTTGGCCAAGTATGTCAGGAGGGGCACGGTCCCATTCGACTTCACAAGCACACGACCTTGCAGATCCGCCCTGGATCTGAGGGCTTTGTCCGTAAGGAACATATGCAGGGGGCTCATGATTTCGTGCTCGACTGCTTGCCAATCCAGCACATTGAGGACACATGCCCAGGTCAACTGACTCTTGTGGGTGATGGTCTCGGGCACCATCACCTTGTTTGTCAACTTCTTCATTGGCCAAAGGCATGCAGCAGCGCGATCAGGCCATCGACCGGCAACCATAAAAAGGTCGACTACGCCTTTCTTCTTGACAATCATGCCAGGAAGCAGCAACGCTGTACGCCACCATCGTGTGTCGGTGCATTCAGACAACGTGAGGAGCTGAACCGTTTCGACTTTGCTCGGAAGCGACTGCGCGTTGAAGGAGGGCCACTTGGGCCTGGTGCCCGCCTTGCCGACTATGTCCTTGAACCTCGGTTGTTTGCCGAAGAAACAGAAAACGAAGTAGTAGAAGTTCTAGTAAGTAAACCTACTAATGAAACTTCTAGACAGTAGTAGTAGTAGTAGTAG